CTACATCGAGTGGCACTTGGGCCTTGTACAAGGTGAACATCAATGTCAAAAATCTTACCTATTCTGTCTCACTATTCTAACTCTTTTACACCTATACTGGCGTCACGCCTCTTCTATTGGCACTTTGTCAAAATAATCTTTTCGCCTCTGACCTCCAAATGTCTTAAATCTAAAAAGAGCCGCCTTTAATTTGTTGTTGTCGAAATCGCTTGTCAGCCATCATTTCTGACAACTCGGAGAGTAAGCTAAGTATTTTGGCTGTGTCATCTGTTTATCCATGTCAACAAAATGCCCAGTGACATTGTCTAGCAAGATCTATCAACTTATTTATATATGATGAAATAAGGAAAAAATAAGGAAACATATAAATTTAACCTGTTTCGCTATTTATGTAGCGACATCAGAAACCTTTAATCAGTCCTGGCCTGGCATCTTGACTTCAGTCACATTCCCACTCCCGTGATGTCGTACAAGAAAGTGTTTTTCTCGTCAGTAGCCATTTTGTACATTTATAAATCTACCATTTGACCGTACGTTGAATATTGCTGCTATATCTGGCCTGGTACTCCGTCTCTATATATATATATATATATAGTCGAGTTCGATGTATTAGGGTCAAGCAGATCAGTTCCCAGGAAACCGACAGCCCGACAACAGCACATGAGATTTGATTCTAGTGGTGAAGGTTTCGGGCAGGACCATTCACACTCTTTGAAGGGCCGAATACAGAGACCTGATGCACTAAGTGCCACAAGGTCCCCAAACGACCCTCCGCAGGTTTTGAATTCAGAGTTGTCCTTCTCCTAGACCAGTTGCCATCCAAGGCTATAGAACCCAGTCACCTCGGTCGCATGAATTCAAGCCTGCTACTAGATTGACAACTACGTCTCACCGTTTTACTGATGAACTAGCTAGATGTAACCGTAAGTTCTATTCCAAAAGGTTCTATTTCTCGCACTTCTCGCCTGTGGAACTCTCTTCCAATTTCTTGCTTTCCTGTCAGCTACAATCTCGAAAAAATTAAATGCAACACCAATCGATATCTTCTGCCCTCCCGAATCTTTCTGCACACTAGTCTTTTCATTCTCTTCCAAACCCAGTAGCGTTTTAGTGGCATTATCGTCTTACCTGAGGTGAAATGAGAAAATAGTGTAGATTTGTTTTTTGTTTTTTAATTCTATGTTTTTTGTTTTGTAGGCATTACGTGTTTATTTTGTGGCGTTAATGCCTATGCATGTGTCTATCCAACAGCATTGAAACAACGATAATCTTCAACCAGATTCGATGGGCAGGACACGCCATGAGAATACGAGGAGGTAACTGGATTCCAAAACAACTTTTCTACGTGGAACTGAAGACAAGAAAGCATCCAGAACACAAGCCGAAGAGGTTTAAAGATAATCTGAAAGATAATCTGAATGCATTTCACATGAATGTGCCACATTGAGAAGAACTGATTGAAATCATACAGAATGGAGACCTTTTATTAGAGGTGGATGCAATGCCTTTGATGATGAATACCTCAGGCATGCTCAGATCAAACATGATCTACAAAGAGTCATTCACACTGATTTGCCAACTAATATGCAGTCCTCTAAATGTGATATGTGTGAGCTTATGCTATTGTCAATGGCAGGTTATACAAACCACCTGAAAGGTCATCATAACGACCAGAAGCAAGTCTAGTATATCAGCCTGCCTCATCATCCTGCGGAAAATACCTGTGTTGTTTGCATAAGATTTGCAGATCATCATCTTGACTGAGCACGCACATGGTGATACACAAAAGAATTGTACGCCATGCAGATCCACTCAAGAATACAGATCTTAACAGTCATATACACCTGATATCTATGCAATTGTCTCAAGAGTCATCTTGAGCGCCATGGACGCAGAAGCGATATGAAGCCATCGCAAGTGATGCGAGAGGGGGCTCACAATCACCGTGTGTATGTGTTTGCTAGATAACACGCTCTCTCCTAGAAATTGTAACTAAGATCCGATCAGCATAGTTTTAGTATGAACCATAGGTGGGCTCCGTGGGTGTTGAACAAACACATATGTACCTGAACAAGCATCTGCAAAATTAGGAAGCTACAAAGTCAGGCCAATTACTCACCCGTGTGTCCATTGTTGGTTAAAGTGAAGTTGGTTATTAAAGAAGGATCCTTACAACCAAAAAACTTAAAGTTGTTCAAAAACTGGTCCTCCACCACATTTGGGATTTCGATATTAATGGGCGACTGACGTAGACCACCGCATACCGGATACCACTTGTGCCAACGCGAAACTCCTGCCAAAAGAAAAAGAAAAGCTAGTAAGAGCAGTATTTATGTTCTCTTTGCATCCATTCCATATAATAGACATTATCGTTTTAATCCCAAGCCATTTGCAATACAGTGCCAGCAAGAAGCGCGACTAATACAAACATATTATATTCGCCATTTTAAATTGTACAACTTGCCTCTCGACGAAAAATATTTTGTCTAAAAAGAATGCTATCGTCTCAAGACGTATTGCAGAACTCCAAGTACATTGTATAAACAAACCATATGACTGTAAATAGATTTATTTAGAAGAAACCTCAAGCAAAATCAGTTAAAATCCTCTAGTGCAAGGGTTGCCAAGCAGAAAATCACTTATGGGAGTAATGTCAAGTTTTCAGGAGATTCGGGAAAAATCTTTTATTTTTTCACAAATTTCTCATTTCTTCATCAGAATAAAATCGATTTAAATAGGCGGGCTTTTTATTGAGGCACGGTAGAGTAATGGCTTGCGGCACGGATTAGGAAATCGGTAGAGCCGAGTTCGAATTCCAGTCAAGTTCATTACTTTTACTTACATTGAGAAAGGTATGAATCTAAGTCATCTCCCTTAGCTATGGGTAAATAGTAGGACAGACTTGATTGCAACCGGTCTAGAGGAAAAAAATCTAAAATCAAAAATGTATGCAGCCCTAGCGAAGCACATACAATACAGCTAAGGGAAAGATCGTTCGCATTGACTCGATGATCCCGACTACAGTCGATTCATTTTTGAACTCGACTATAGATTATAGACCGATTTTAAAATAAGGTTACCTTTTTTAAATGTTTTTTTTTTACTCTTTTCTCTGACATTGTTTCTGTCATTGAAGACCTCAATATATCTAAATTCAGCTTACCTAATGCACCAGTGTAACTCCATTCATGTTTGGCATCAGATTTACCATCTGTAAAAAGAAAAATGAATTGGTGTATAAACAAAAGAAAACATAAAAATGAATAAAATTTGTGGTAGAATATTTCATTAAGCAATTCTTAATGGCTTCCTAAGACTAACGAGGTAAAAAGTCTATGAGTCTGAGGGATTTTGTCAAAGGTCACCCTTCTTTGAATATTGTGGACCGGTGCTACAGTAGCAAAAGCAAAAAAACTGTACCAAATAATAGAAACCACATCACTTGAGGACTTACCAACAGCAACAATTAATATGGTTAACACTGGAAGAGAAATAATCAAGATGTTAACGTATCAGACTACTTCAGATAGGAGGTTAGGATGAAAACAACGTACTGGAAAGAGCGATAACCGCTACTGGACTTGAGAAACCTATTTCCTGATAAATTGTTTTAAGAGGAAGATTTTATAAATTTCAACCACAAGGGTCGGTGCTAGGGCCTCGACCTCGACCTCCCCGCACTTCAAAGCTTTGACATGGGACCCCCTCTCTACTACAAATATTTATATTTCCATAAATATTAATCGCTGATACATCTTCGATGAAAAAAAGTTTTACAAAGATTCCAACTCAACACATGAAAAGCATCCCCCTCAAATTAAATTTACTTAAAAAAATTTAAAAACAAATGGTGCTAATGCAAGACAGGACTTGATGTATTTACTGTTTGCAAATCGTGTGACGGGAAAATTACGGTTAATTATGAGGAGTTGCGGTTTGTGGTAGGCTAGGTGTAGAACGTTTCATGAATGAGATAATCCGCAATTTAAATTTACATTGATATACGGTTTAGTGTCTCTTACTAGCGTCTCTTTCACCAGGTCCCGTCATGCATTTGCACCACCAAAAAAAAAATGTTTCCTCTAATACAATTCATAGCTAAATAAATGTATAAATTGATTTAAAAGAACTGTTCAGAAAGAAAATTACAATTTAAAAAAATAAACCCTACTGAAATTAGCACTTCTGCACACACACACCCCTACTAAGTAGGCATGAGGCCCCTACGCGGTGGAGGGTTTCGGGATAGTAAGCATTGACCCTGTCGATTATTATAGTTGATGACTGAAAATATAACTTTCGTAGAAAAAAGTACAAAAAGCAAAAAAAAAAAAATACGCTGTAGAAACTAGCCTTTTTGGGGCTCCAGCCTCATTGGGGGCTCCTGCGTAGTACGCACCATACCAACTATGCAGATACACGATGTATATTATTAGTTGATGACTGACAATGTAACGTCAGTCTTAAAAATATTTTTTTTTAATGGCGGATGGCCATAAAACAGTGCTGAAAAAAAAATGGTAGAGGCCACACAAAAAAAAAACGCTACCCATCTTACCCGGGTTGAGGGTTTCTGGGTAAGACGCGCCGGCCCTGTTCAACCGAAAGCAGTACTGAATACTCGGTTAATGAATAACAAGTGTTTTCTTGTAGGGAAATGGCAAATATTACCATTTCAGACAAACATTTGCATCTTGTTTTATTACAAGATTTCAGCTGAATGTACACACAAGCATTCTCCGGAATCTCTCTTCTGATAATTTTCAGAAAATTTTGATTAGAATGGTTTGTTTGTTTTTTGTTTTTTTTTGTTTTTTTTTTGTTTTTTTTTAGTTCTAAGTTCCGAGTCAGTGACGTGCTCTTTTTATCCTTTGCCTTTTGTCATGGCCGACATTCTCCCTCGGCATTTAAACTCTCAACTGCCAAATTTATCTTAGACATGATTTATCCGTCACTGACTTGACACAACCTTTCGTCTTCTGGAGTTGAATATTCGATCAATGGGAAAAAAAAGTCCAAAGAGTTCGAGCGAGTTTTCTTTCATAAAAATTACATTGAGGACGCTAGTTTGAAAGAACAATTGAATAGTTACAATAGTTCATGACAATTGTTTTATTTTGTTGTTGTCGATGGTGGTGGGGGGGCAGTTTTTATTTTTAAATATGAATACTTAACTAAAAAATACCCGGGAAAATTTCAGGGTTTTCCTATTTTAATTTTCTGATTAATCTTAATTTTAAGTTAATGATTGAATAAGCTTATGGCAAGTTCTATGACAATAAAATCTCCGTATAAATTCCCCCTATCACACCATTAAACATTTGAGCTTAACAACTTTAACTAAATATTACCATAACAATCATAAATATGACTTCTGGTCGTTATTTTAAGAAGTAAGGGGGTACAAATGAACAGATTTGGAAATTGACAACTTTTTTAATTTCACTGAAACAGCCTTTTATCTTTCCCTTTTTTTTTTTGGTTCTTTCTTTCTTTTATTCATTTTCTCACAGAAACCAAATAGCGTTTCTCATATGTGTTTCGTTTTACCACGCAATCAAAAATGAATTTTCCAGTAGATATGATATGAGGTATTGACAACGGATGTTAAGCAATTCTATGCTCCCTTCTTTGTTTGTCTGTTTCTTTCTTTCTTTCATTTTCTCACTGAAACCAAATAGTATCTTTTCCCCCTCTTTCCACGAAATCAAAACGGAATAGTCACTTATTTATTAGGTATTAGCAAGAAACATGAGTTACCTTATTTCTTTCTAGGCAAATCCCCATCTTGCGAACATTTCTCTTAATAATAATTTTAATTCAGTAGACGATGTTATTTTATTTATGGTAACTGGATCTTTGGCGATTTACTTACTCATTTCCGTCATTTGATACTATGCGCCTGAAAAAGGACACATTTATCACAGTCGCCATCGATTCTCGGCTTTTTGGCTAAGATCAAAATGTAATAACCGTTCTTATCAGCTCAATCTGATTCTCTCTCTCTCTCTCTCTCTCTCTCTCTTTCTCTCTCTCTCTCTCTCTCTCTCTCTCTCCACTTCTATCTATCTATCTATCTATCTATCTATCTTTCTTTCTTTCATTTTCTCACTGAAACCATTATTTATGAGGTATTGGCAAGGCGTAACGGTCTTGCGAACTAACGAACCTCGGGACAAGCACAATTATAATAGGATTTGACTTTGTTACTAGGCTAGGCCAGAAGGATAAATTTCTGAAAATGAGGAATTACTAAGAGATATCAAAAGTATTTTCGTTTTTAATCAACGTGCGAGTCTCTCTAGGGTTCCTAATGGTTTTTAAACTGATGTTAGCCTCTACATAAGGTACCTTTTGACGATCCTAGCTGTCCTGAGAAAGTATCCGAGAACTAATGGGTGCCTTCTTAATTTCTTCTTCTATGTATCGCGTCCTTTCATGTCATAGGCGATCATAGCTCTCCACAACTTCCTATCCCTTGTGACCGTTTTTTATTTCTTTGCTAGGGCTTCAGTTTCGCCATCCATTCACACAAGATCGACAAGTAAGTGGCTCGCTACCTTCCTCTATCTTTCTTGCTCTTAGTATGTTCCGTGAGTGTTAAGTTTTCCGAACCCGCCTTCCTCATGATGTGTCCAATGAATTTCAGCTGTCTTTTCCTGATTTTGAGTAGAAATGTTCTTTCTCCGGCCATTGAATTTTCAGTTATCTTTCTCTAGAACTACATTTCTGTTGCTTCTGTTTTTGCCTCTACTTTGTATTTCAAAGCAACGTTATTGGCAACTGAATGTTACACATTTCTATGCTTTATTTAAAGAGACAGCTCAACGCGCTTGACACACTTAAATCTGTTTGGGCAAGTATGATCAGATACTATTGCTATACAGAGTGCGGCAGAAATACCTCCCACATATACCTCCCAGAAATACCTCCCACATAATGGTAAAACACTACTGGCAATGGTGTCTTAATCGAGCTAATGTTTTTCCATTATGTGGGAGGTATATATGGAAGGTTTTTCTGCTGCATCTGGTAATATTAAATTAACTTGTTCAGACCATTTGCAAAATTGGGGAAAATACAAGATACAACAGAAATACCTCCCACATAAGGGTAAGACATTAGCTAGATGAAGACACCGTTGCCAATAATATCTTACCATTATTTGGGAAACATTTCTGGAGGGAGGGGATATGAAGGAGGACTTTCTGTTTCACACTGTATTAATAAGGATGTGCGGGTAGTATAATGAATAACGGCTCGGAATGAGAAGTCAATGTGCCAAGTTCGAATTCCAGTCGAGTTCTTTACATTTGCTTACGCGCAAATTCCCTTGGGAAATGTATAAATCATTTATTCTCCCCCAACTATGGGATAAATAGTATGAAGTTTATCTGGAAAAATTTTTATCTCCAAAAATTGTTAATGCAATATTCACTCGCCAAAAACATTCTTACAAACCAAAATATGTTTCGGATTTAAATAACATAAAAAGGGTAGATAAACCGTAAAAATCAGGGTTTTTTACATGTTCCTAATGGAAAGGTCTTAGCGACTACATTTTGACTTAAATATATTTAATTTACACTATTTCTATTCGGACTATCATCTTTATCTTTTTTGTTTTTATCATTATGTTTCAGCCGTTGTGCCCTCCGCCTTTTCTCGGATGTATATCGATCTGGGTAATCTATATAGAATTCCGAACTGAACACTTTATTTAATCTACGGGGGTCGACTGTTCTCGTCCCACTGCTCATGTCTAGGGGGTATCGTCTAGTTCTCAGTGCTATCCAGTTATTGCTCGCTCGTTACCACTGAGTACAAGTGCACACTACCCGACCCAGGGATTGAACTCACAACCAATATGTCACCAAATTCACAAACCAACGTTTTTACACACTAAGCCATTGTCCCGTAGGACCGCGCCAATTTTTGATGGAGCTTTTTTTTTCCAACCGCTTCCATTGGTGTATACGGGACAATTTTTAATAACACCGACTATTCAAATATTACGCATATCTTTTAAAAGGCATAAAATCAGATAAAACGCTTGATTTGTAAAGAAAGAACCTAAGTAATAAATTACTAGGTTGTCCAGAATGTCCTACTTAGGAAGCGGAAAGTAAACAACAGATCTTGATGTCTGTCTGTTGGAATTTCCAAGGAGTACTGTATTTCGAACTTATTCCACACGTTCGCGCCATCTATATTGCCGCGTATACGACAAACTGAAGAAGGAGTATCCTGCTTTGGTCAGTCGAGGTCGGACTTTGTTCCACCAAGACAATGCGAGGCCACACATTACCAGGTTCACTAAGGAGAAGTTCAAATAGATGGACAGTCCCGATGCTGCTCCGTATGACTATGGCTTATTCCGCTCAATGGCACACTTCTTATGCGACCAGTGATTCAACACTTTTGATGACGTGAAGGAAGCTTGTTTACAGATTGTTTTTTTATTCAAAGCCAACGGACAAGGTATCTGGGACAGATTGCTGGCAGAAGATCGTCGAGAATCATAAACTTTATTTTGAAGAATAAATGTGGTGTTGGTCCATAAAATTTTGTTGCTTTCTTTCCGCTTCCTAAGTGAATCAGAACTTTCTGGCCAACCACATAATTTAAAAGGTAACACGAACTGGTCACGAGCTAGGTGTGACATTTTAAAGTGGCTGTTTGACATACGTGTTTATCAGCCTTATCATACATATTAATCAGATCGACACGAATAGAAAATGTTACTAAAAGGTTCTAGAAAAATGGAGGTTAAGAAAGTTTAATTCTTCTTATCGTTAATTCTTCACATGTCACGTCCTTTCAGTGCGTAAGCGAGTATCAATCTCCATATATTCCTCCTTGTTATTAGTGGTTAGCACCCACTCGCATCCGAGCATCGGGATCGTCATCCTCTGTCCTTATTCTCTTATCGGACCCTCCAGTCAGCACGTCGCAGATCCTCTTCATACTGACGGTTGGACTCGAACGTCCCGGTCCCCGCTAATGTTGTATATATATATATGTTGTTTTAATGTTAATATGTCAACGTCGGACGTTTCGGTCTAATAAACCATCTTCAGGACATATTCATTCTCATGTTGTATTGATAATGTTATAATTTATGAATATGTCCTGAAGATGGTTTATTAGACCGAAACGTCCGACGTTGACATATTAACATTAAAACAGCATAATTGTATATAAGGATTTTTGTTTGTTTTTTCCGTATATGTCCTGAAGATGGTTTATTAGACAGAAACGTCCGACGTTGACATATTAAAACAGCATAATTGTATATAAGGATTTTTGATTGTTTTTTCCGTATATATTTTTCTTCATATATATATATATATATATATATGTGTGTGTGTGTGTGTGTGTGTGTGTGTGTGTGTCCTGGATATAATAATAAACTACATCCGGCAGCAAGTCTTCTGATCGGAAGATTGGAGGATTTGAGGAGCGTGTAACCATCTTTTAATTTAATTACTGTTGTTCCCAGATACGCCCTAACCTGGGGTGGTAGCCCCTGTTAGGGTCCCTGCTATGGGCAAATAGTGTCTACCAGGGCTGACCAGGCTCATTATTGTTATAAAACACGATTGGTCTAGGAGATGGAAAACTCTTACACGAAAAGCCTGAGGTCTATTGTCTGCCTCGTCTGTGGCATTTATTTGCACCGACTAAGTGTATCAATAGTTCGGAAAAGTGTGGATGGTTCTGCACAAGCCTTCACCACTTTAATCAAATCACTTGTGGGGGTTTTCTGGCGGTTTACCCTGATTCGATCGTCCTTATTAACTTAAGATTATTGCACAAAATGCATAACTGAATCAATTGGTTAAGTTGTCAGATCCTCATAAGTCGAAACCGACGGAAAGGTCCATAATATATATATATATATATATATATATATATATATATATATATATATATTAAAAATAGTTACTGTTTGCATAGTTAGCTCCCTTTAACTCTGTAAACAATGTTTTTAGGATAAAAAAAAGGCTTTACGGGGCAACAATTTCGGACGGAAGAGGAAGAGGAAATTATATAGCTAGCAAAACACACGTGTATTTGTTATTTATTCTACCGTATGTTTTAAAATCTCACTCACAGGTCAAACGTCTCACCTAAGCCTTTTCTCCTTCTCGTCTGTTAAACACATCGAACCTCAGATGGTACTATGCCAGGGAGGCCAGTTTGCAGCAACGGTTTCCGAGGTTTCCGGTTCGATGTTAGCCTATATGAGGGATGTTTTTCAACTGATCCTTGAAACATCGTTTTGGGGCCCTCGAGTAGCCTCTTGCCGCTGGCTAGTTCTCTAAACAGAATTATACGTATTCCTTCATTATCTGTGAATTGCTTGGACTTCTAGGGAAATATGGTGGAATAGATTACCATTGCCTTCTCTACGTTCTGGAATTCAAAGTTTATTTGCTCTCATACTAGAGAGATCAGTCTAACCTGCTGTTTAATCCATAGCTGTGATTAGAAGAGGTAGATTCATGCCTTTCCTAAGAGTATTAGTGTGAAAGTGAACGCAACAGAATAGGCCGAGAATTGAACTTGGCTCGTCGATTTCATTTTCACATAAATATCCATTACATAACCGTTTGAAAAAAAAGAAACAGATCAAGAATGCAGAACTACATTGGCAACCATTAAATAAAGAGCATCCATCTAAGATGTTAACAATACCAACTAATCAATGTAAAATGCTAATAATAATAATAATAACTAAACACCTGTACATTTATATAAGATGTTAATGATCAAACGGTTAAGTTATTTACCAGTTTCTTAAAGGGACCTTTTATTTGTCAGCGACAAAATTTTATGTAAGATGCCGAATGACCATATAACTGGATAGTATTGTGTTAAATTACCTCCCGACTTCTTTCACTTTTGCTTATTAAGAAAGTTGAACGCCAGACTTAGATACATCTTAAGGTATAATGTAACCACTTGTATCTGTCCATAAGAAAATTGTCTAGGATTTATATGCAGACAGCTTCGTGTCATGACCTACATTTAAAAAAAAAATTTTTCCGGTGGGTTTGAATCTATTCGATTGGTTAATCCCGACAAAGCGCACAAGCCTATTAGTAGATAGATAGATAGATAGATA